GGAGGTGTTCCTGAGTTGATGCGAGGTGCGGGACGTGACGGTACCAAGTTGTTTGGCGAGATTCATCCTTGGGTGAACTACGAGACTATGTTATCAGCCTGTCTCGTAGGCCTGCTTGTCGAGGAGTCTGAAGGCACTGAGAATCAGATGGACCAGATGGATTAGACCACGACATTGAAGAGACGACATAGACCATAGACGCAAGACTACTGGCGCATCCGTGTTACATGGAAACGGTATTTTACATGTATTAGACTACACTGTTTGCGCCAGAGATGTTCTCCTCGAACACTTAGATGTACATTAGCTAGAAAGATACCCCACAGAGACCGGTCTTTACCGTCTCTTTCCAAATCGAAACTTGAGCTCGTCATCGCTGTCACTATCCGCGACTTCCACAGCTCTTCTCGTTGGCCGACTCCGTTTCGGAGGCTGCTGTCCTGCAGCAGGCTCTGCCGCAGCTCGTTTACTCCCCTGGCTCATGTTCTGTGATGCTTGACTCTTTGATTTAGCCTGCGACTGTGTTTGTGCCCCTCGTGTTCGAGTCGCTGGTACCGAAGATCGCTGTGATACTGAATTACTCTCTTCGTCGCTGCTGTCTGATATGACATTGGCATATGCCCTTTTCTGGGCACGAGATGAAGTCGAGGGTGCTGTAGGCGCAGATGGTTGTGACTGTGTTCCAGGAGCTTGACTTGAGTTCCTCTTCCTGCGCTCCGTTTCCTCATCCTCGAGCCAGTAATCGTCTCCAACGCCAAACTCCTTCGTCTTGACCTGCGTCAGAGGCACAATAGTCTTTACGGGCTGGCGTCCTGTGGCCTCTCCCCGTTGTCTGAACCTCTTGAAGTTCTTCATCCCATTCCACTTGGGATCCCATCTTCCGTCACGAATGTCTTGTTCTCGAGTACGGGGATGGCTAGGCTGTCGTACTTCGATCTCTTCTACGATGTTGAGTCTGCGAATCTCTGCAAGATCAACATCATCTGGCAAATTTGCCAAATCTTCCTTTTCAGCCCGTGCACGAGCTTCTTCTTGCTCTCTGTTTTGTGCAGCTATTGCCAAGATATCGAATTCTTTCTTTATCTTTTTTGGCTCTGGGACCTTCTCAGCTGTCTCAATTACCATCTGCTCAGCCGGATCCTCCAAATCTTCACCTCGTTCTATCCGTTGACGCTTGAACCTCTCTGCTGCAGTTGTCATACCATCCATGAGGTCGTCTTGCGGTAATGGTGAAGCTCGCCTTTTCCTTTGCGAAGACCTGGCATTGCTAGACTGTAGCGTTTCTAGGGGTGCATCTGGCTCCTGAGACACGAATAGACCTTCCTCCTCTGCCGGCGCTTGCGTCGCATTCTGAGTCGCAGCACGGGTTGCGGGTTGATTTACAGGCACTGGTGCTGCAGGAATATCGTCCATATCACCGTCATCATCTCCGCCGAAGCCTGCAAAGCGTCTTTTGACAGTTCTCCTCGTCCGCCCACGTCGGGGAGCAAGCTGTGACTCTTCGGGTGCCTGTGACGTTTCAGCCTGTGTGGCAGGATGCTGTGTCCCATTTGCCACCTCAGGATCTTGAAGAGTCTGGGCTTGATGTTGTGTATTATGTGCAGACTCAACCTCGAGAGGGCGTCGAAGAATACTCGCATCTTTGATGAGGATTGCTTCCAAAAACTCACTTTGCTCAATAGGACGATGATCCAGTCTCAGGGATACAGACCTGAAAAAGCCCACATACCAATCAACTGAACCTCCTTTCGAAGGAACGAAGCGTACTACTACTACACCTTTTCCCTCGCTGCCGTCGTTAAAGGCACCGAGGCCCTTTTCACCAGCGACACTTTTGACATATTGAACAAAGTCATCGACCAAAGTTTCTTCGGGATCAACATTTCGCAACAACGCTTTGCCACCACCACTCGTAATAGGCGCCAGCAAGTTGTTGTACTGTACGGGGTCGTAGAAGATGAAGCTGTAGCCTTCAAATATGTCGCGCCTCCCTGCATCTGGGGCATACGTCGAGTCAGGGTGTTGTACAGGCTCGCCTCCCCTTGGAGGTAAATGTTGCATAGCATCGGGCCAGTTTTGATCAAAGTCCTGCTCCAAGGGGCTCAAGTCGGTGGTCTCCGCCCCATCCGCTAGATTTCCGGCTTCAGCCACTGCATCGAGGAAAGTTTCCGTTACAATGTGTTTCCCGTTGATCAAGGCCTGAAGCCCTTTGGCCGTATTTCGTTTCTTTGAGACAACATGTGTGGTCGAGTCAACATACTCCGTCACAAGCTTGATATCAAGCTGCTCGAATCTTCCTCGAAGTGTAGTTAGGGGGTCTGTCTGTAGTTCCTTGCTGGTGAAGGAAAACGCAAAGACAACTGGTTCCCACGAGATGCTGTGGACTGTAAGCGGCGTAACACCAGATCGGATGAAACGAGTTACCTGAATCTGTTTGGGCATTTCCCCATTGTAAACTCGGCCTTGTCACCTTCAATCACCTTTCTCTTGCCTTTAATCTTTTCTCCATTGACGGCTGTCCCTATTTTTGTCGCCAAATCTTCGATCGTGAGCGTTGAGCGACTCCTTGGATTGTGCGCCTGGCCTTTCTCGACAGGGCTGACGGTGATGGTCAAGTGCTTGCGCGAGATTGTATTGTGTGATATCGCAAGTTGGCCGGCTATAGATTTTATGAGCATTAATTCTTTCGTTTAGGGGGATTTCTCTTACGTTCTGCGGCTGTTCGACCAAATAGGTAGGTTTTCCCTGGTCGCAACCATAACTTTCGGCCTAGGGATGATTAGCCACATCGACAGATGAAGGTCCAAACTCACCATCAAAGGCCTCTGAATTCTCCAGGATCCACATCTCCAGGCGTCAAGTACGACGCGAGGTCGTCTACAATTCCATACAAGTATTGGCGAAGCTGCAAGTTATGACGTGAGGTCGAGATCGCGAATCTTGTGGGGCCGTGGACGCGACTCGGCCAGCCTTTCGTGACGCCAGATCACGTGTCTACCTTGGTCTCACTTACACGGCGTCAATTACGGGGTGAACAAAGAGAAGGTGAAGTCATAGGCTTCACTGTTCCAAGGAAAGGATTGAATGTTGAAATATCTAGAAACTGATATGCCCATACATTAGGCAGTGTATTTTGGCACTCAAGCTTAAAGCTAGCTGCTCTTCTTCTTCTCGCTCCTCGATTTAGGTCTCGTGTATGATTCAGGGTGCGGTTTAGGATATCAGGCAGAATCATGTCAACTTGTCTCTCAGGAGTATTGTTTGTTGCATGGAATAAATACCCCACAAGGCACTCATTGCGAATCCTCTTTCTATTCCCTTCACACAAAAGGCGTTCCGAAAAGGCCTATAACACCACACTCGATCTCCCATCAAGGTTTCATTAGGAAACAGAAACGTGAGCCATTATCGCTACTACTTGAAATGCATACTTGCAGACTTTTGCGTATTCGATAACTCTGTCTAACTACTTGAAGATCAAGATCAGAGCTATTGACCATACAGACCCAAGGAGCCATTGATGTCAACCTGAGAATTACCATGGACGAGCGCAACGGTACAGATCACAATCAAAGCGTAAGTAATGGCATCTTTCACTGCAAGGATCGGGCGCTAATATATGAATGTGTAGCCACCTCGTAAGAGACCAAAGACATGGCGAACTTCAGCCATCTACATCTGTCGGCAACCACTCAGCCAGTGCGCAGCACGATACGGAGTCGAAGGAGATTGACTACGCTGGCGCGATCCGTAAAGAATGCGCCGGTGTGGAGATGGATTCGAATCATCGTTTCCTTTACGTTGTTCCGGAAAACGGAGTTGTGGTTTTTTTTCAGGACATGAACCAAGCTTCAGCAACTCTCGACAAGGACTACATGGCCAAGGCATGTGAAATGGTAACATTCCAATTCGACTCGAGCCGCACAATGAGGCTGTTCGCAGAGCTTCTCAAAGCACGCTTCGAAAACTATAGTGGCGTTATGCCCCGGGTCCATGCGAAGGTTCTTGTATTCGAGAGTGCTTCTTTTCCCGAAGCACCACTTCTCAACGGATGGGACACGGAACCACACGCGCATGGATCCTACACAGGCGCCCATAATCACGTTAGAGACTGGGTGGCCGCCGTGCTCAGCGTTTCGACAGACATGGGAATTGAGTTCCATCTCTGCCGTCCCTGGAGAGACTTTGGTTTCCTCAACGGGTCTACGACTCCCCTACGAGACGCTGGGTATGATCTGTCGGTCACTTTGGAAGAGGTAAATTGGCTCCAAGTGCCAGACCGATTCAGCGGCTTTTTGAGGGCAATGACAGTTAGAGCGGTGACTGGAGAACCTCTAGACGGCGCGAATCTCCAATTTCAATCCAATCTAACATATGAGATTGCTAAAATTCTGGTCGATCACGGGAATCGATTTATCCGTTATTGATCATTGTGTTTTTCGCCACGCGCGGACATCGTCTGCCGTTGCTGCCTGCCTGGGCATAACACTTTACAGTACAGTCTTTGATTTGGCGGGCTAGAGAAATCTTTTGAGGATACGGGCTGTGCGGTTAGTGACCGTACTCACAAAGCAGTTTACTTTCCTACAAGCAAGATGGTGGAATTTCGATGTTGTCAGGGGATATCTTGGAGGCATCAAGCTATAAGTTTGCTACATGATGAATTCAAATAGCTCATTAATTATTGATTTCTATTAATTACCTCGTTACTCCCCACACAAGATTCTTCCTACTCTGACCATGGGAACAATACCACTCAACAGTATCCAGACACTCAAGCGGGCCAGTAATACAGCTACCAAGACTGCAATGGCGTGTCTTATCTTATCTGTTTGGAAGCTAATCTATAACAAATGAACAAAGTAAGCTACCTTCAAACTTTACTCGGCAAATGGCTTAAACGCTCGAATTGCGTCGTGTCCATAAAAGGGTGTAATTCAGTGCCAAAGCCAAACATACAGCGACCGTACTAGTTACAATTACTCCTCGAGTAGAAAGAAATGCAATATGCCACTCTCATGAGGTTTGTTATTGTCAAACTGTTCATCCGTCTGCCTATCAGCTCAACCATCCTCCTCTCCAAACTTCAAAGCACATCAAATCGTAACTTGGTCAGGTTTGGTAGCTTTGCTTCCGGTGCTTATTCGAGTCAATACTAAATACCCCCTACAGTTGTTATACTTACTAATGCGTGGTCACGGTGCAATTGCTACATCGGACATGTTCGCAGTTCGTGCAAATGGTATGTACGGCCCAATCCCAGGTCTGAAGGCAGCGACACTAATAATGAGACGTTACACTCAACCATGGCAACTTTGGATAGAATGAGACTGTGACTTACACATTTCCAGTAATACGTGACTGGTTCAGGAGCCATATTGGGCTACCTAAAGATGCAATCAGTGTAAGTCCATTATAAGAAAAAGTTCTTGGTTACCTACATGTGATTTGAGTATATCGTAAATATCGGTAGTTGACTTACACCCATTTCCGAGCTCCAAAACGGGCTCGAAGCTCGAGCTTTATTCCGATGCGGCTCTGCGGTCGACTGACACTCAAGGCTCGGGGTTACCGCGAAGGATGCAACCCAACGCCGCCCGGGGTACCAATGAGAAGTCTCGTTTTCCCAGAAACGTGATAAGTTCACTTTTAGCCGGGTTGTTCATTGTTAGTGCCATATTGACGTCAGTGAATGGGGTTGGGGGCGAAACTTGGATAGTGTTGGTGATGATAGGTGAGAGCAAGGGAACCTAGGTTGCCAATAGAATGAAGGCCTCGTGCTGCACTGGTTGAGAACATATGACTCAAGTAGAGTTTCGGGATTAATAGTTATCTGTGATTAAGGTATATCCGGGCTCCAGTGTGTCTTTAATGAGTTACATCGGGCGACTCTGGCAAGGTGTGTTAAAGACACGAGACACGAGACGGGAGCTTTGAGGGCATGCAGCAGTGGCACATGGCAGGTCAAGTTCACTATAGGCTCCTTATAGTCGCTTCAGACCCTCCATTATTGGTACTAGCAAGTGTACTTGTGAGGCTCAAGTCAAGTCAACCAAGCCCATACATCCTGCTGTCGTATGTTACCGGCAAACGGTGAAAGTATGGTTAGATCTGGACCTGTGATGTCCGACCACCTTAAGCCTGTCTATCGAGAATTTTAACTGGGCAGGTATTCATCAATGTGTTTCTCTTATTTTCATTTTGTACTTATTACCTAGCTTAAGCCATTTAGCATGGTAACAAATGCTAACATTTGACAGTATTTGATCATAAACTCAACGCCAACATTATCCCAAGCGCCGTATATACGTTTGCAAATAGGAGCAAAAAAACAAAGGACTTTGATACAGCCCAAACACATGTTTCTAAACCTTGCTGGGTTTGTAGCACTCAGCTATCATCTTCTTCCGACCAACTCTCCTGCTCTTGATACTGATAGCACCGCTCGCTTGAGATCTAACTCGATGTATTTCCTCGGGATCGTGATTCGTAGCACGAGCGATCTCACGTAGTTCACCAATCTTCCAGCCGCGCAGGAAGAAGAGGCACAGGCCGCCAGCGATATACATTACGCCGACAAAGATTTGAGCGCCGATGTACTTTCCAGTGCCGGCGACAATCTGTAGAGCAATGGGTGTGCTGAATGTACAAGGCAAGCTGATGATGACCCAAGTCAAGTTGAGAGCAGCAGGAACATCAGCAAGGCCGACGACCTCGGCTGTGACTGGAGCCACTGTTGCCCAGTAGGTTCCGGCCATGCCACCTCCCACGATGGTGAAAAAGAGAAGAAGTCCATAAGACTTGGCGTTGATCCAGATAGCAAAGACGAGAATTGCGGCTAGCCAAGTTGTGCCGCAGGCCATGTTGATTCGCCCTGTGCGATCACTGAAGTACCCGATGAAAGGACGGCCAGCAGCCTGACCCAGATTGAAGATGGCGCTGACCATGGCTGCTTGAGAGGCATCGAGACCAATGAAGTTGGCATAGTTTGCCAGACTGAAGATGAGAACCACATATCCTAGCATGCTGAACCATCCATAACCAAGAAGCAAGATAAACTCAGCACGTTTGAGAAGTCCGAGGTCGAAGGGTGCTTGACGAGAGCCAATGATCTTGTTACGATCCTTGACAAGAATAGTGCAGATGATATTGACGACGAAGACGATAATGCCGAGTATCCTGTACGCCCATGCGAGACTGATATTCCTGATGATAGCTCCAGCTGCCAAGGAGTATAACAAACCACCGAGACCCGAACCAGCGGCACTGATACCGTTTGCGAGAGATCGACGAGTTGTGAACCATTGAGGAACGATACCGACGCTGGGAACAAAGAGGAAGCCCATTCCCAGACCAAAGAGGACACCCTGTGTGAGGAAGAGTTGATATATCTTGGTCGCAAAACTAGCGCATATCAAGCTAGCGGTTTCCAATACGATACCGGCGAAGAGCGTAGGTTTTGTGCCGAATTCGCGGACGCAGAGTGTAGCAAGGGGTGAGACAAGCATGGCACAAGCAATACTCAATGATCCGACAAAGGCGTAGTGAAGAGATGTTGCTCCGGGGAATGTGTTGTTGGCGATGAAGTGAGCGAGAAAGACTCCGTAACTCGAGTTGAGACCCCATGTATGGGCGTTGATGGTCGCAACACAGGCACAGCAAACCCATCCATAGCCTCCATTGGGTGGTGGGGGCGGTACATCTGTTCTCGGGGGAAACATATCACCGTTATCCTTCTCCTGGCTCGAAATTTGCCGTTGAACTTCCTGGGCTGGAGTGATGACATCGCCTTCTTCGGTAGTGGTGGTGTCGAGACTCCTCCGAGCCGAACCCGTCTCCGGCTCCGGCTCCGGCGACCGGGAGGTCTTTTTCTCGTCGTTGTCTCCCATTGTTTAGGGCAATTGGGAGGAAAGACGAAAGGAAAGAGATGGAGGAGTCATGATTTTTAGTAAAAAAATGGACAAAAAGGGATCAAGTGCTTCTTAACTATGACCCCGGCTTAGAGGGACCGTCTAGGGCATCTCCGACAACCGGAAATGGCGTCCGGGGATAAGACGGGTCCAGTTTTGATGCGTCTTGGCTTCGGTTGGCGGCGCAGAACCACGCGGGGCGTAAGCCATCTCTGTATGTCTCGCTAGGGTCTTGTTGTGCTGACAATGTTGTAATTGGGTGATATATCTTACAAACAGGGCCAAGATCCAATGAATGAAGCTCTCTACTCACTGCACCAAGAGGAGTCTCCCTTTGGCTTCCGTATACAGGCAACAGACGGTTAACAATAAGACCAAGGGGAATAAGATTTGAGCCTGGGGATAAAGCGGGGTTGAATGTCAAGTATCCAATCCAATCTCAGCCGATCTGATCGGCTACTACCCGCATTCACTCGCTCCCACTTCCGCCCGCCTTTTCCTTTCTCGTTGCTCTCCTTGTGACCTTTCGTGGGGTAATACACATACATTATTTGACACCAAGACCCGGCATTTCATGTCGGTGAATAGCAAGTGTCGTCTTTTCTGCTTATAAATGCCACATGGTTTGTCATAAGATGTGTCAAAAAGGGCGCCAAGCTTCAGCACTGCTCGTCTAATATGCCGAGGTCTACGGCGTTGCCCCTCCCGGACTATTCAATGGGAATAACGCATTGTCATAGAAAGGGCGTTCATTTGTTATTCTGACCCTGGTCGATGTTCTGATATGCAAGTCAGGTGAGCTAGAAAGTTCAGAGAGAAGAGAGAGAATGTCTGCTGGGGCCTGGTGTCCCTTGGCCACAATCGTATGCTTAGGATAATCTCTAAACATTTAGGCCCAATCCTATGAATAAACCAAACAAACTCATCGAAAAATAAACACCTCTTTCGACATTTTCTAGACTTGGAGGGAGAAGCCTCTTTCTCTTCTCGAGCCTTCGTGATGTTCACCGGAGCCTCGAATTTTGTTCTCCCTAACCTATACAGCTCAGCATTCGTGACCGAAGATTTAATCTTTCCGAATGATACACTGTTTATGAACAATTTTCTTCCCGTTCAATGAACTGGGCATACCGAATCTATGAGAAAGGCCAATGAGCGGGTTACTCACAATATAACCTCACAGCTTGGCATCAGCTCAAGTGCTTGTTCAATTTACACACCTGGAGATGCAGTGCTCAAGATGAACAACTCAACGTTCGCTATGAACACGGCTTTTCGACTGTTGCTGAGAACAATGGACAGAACACGGTTACACAAAGGTCTGTTCCAACTCAGAACAATTGTCAACACAGAATCAGGTCCTTGTTGTGAACACTTGGATTGTAAGGTATATATCACACAGCCTCACCAGCCTTTGAAACGAGCCTAACTCCCCATTCAGCACGGATTCTTTGATCAAGCACAACCTACTCTGATCAAGAACAGCCTACTCATTCGGTTCGAAAAAGAGAAGAAACAACGTACGCCGCTCATAATGGGATTCAAACTTCAAGCCGCCGGTCCAGGGGCGATTGTCTCCATCGTCCTCTTAAGCATGGTTTTAGTAATCCGAATCACCGGATTTTTTGTTTTGCAATACGGTCGCTGGAAGTACCAGCACTATCATGGACGCCTAAATGGATCGAACAAGATTTCCGTAATATTGACAATCAGTGACTCGAAAGATCGAAATCTGGTCGACTATGTTCGGACTATCCTTAAGAACAAACCCGATCAGCTCCTGATAACTACTAGCAATAGGAAGGCTCAGCACCGGGTAGACGGTAAGTTGAAAGGGTTGAGATTTGCGTACTCTGATACAAAGATTAGTGTTGGCGCTATCAACGAGCCGAATAGACGTCACGAGATCGCCCATGCTTTGGACTCAATTGACACTCCGTTTACGGCTTTGACTGATCAGGGAGTTCACTGGCCTGAGGGATTCCTCAAGTCGGCAATGATCCCCTTTGCAAGTCATCGTGTCGGCTGCGTCACAGTTCCCATGATGGCACGCAAGCGAGATGGAATCTGGGGCTCGTTCTTGACATGTATCTTCTCGTGTCACTACTCCCTCATGGCGGAGAGGAATAGGGCCCTTAACGCTCTCGATTCCTCTATACTTTTCACAGGATCGCCTATCATATTCCGTACCAAGCTGACTGCCCAGCCGAGATTCAAGCAGCAGTTCGAGGTTGAGCCGTGCTTGAACCGACGGCATGGTGTCCACAAAGCAGATGAGTATCTGTTCTTCAACCGATACTTGCTTCAAGAAGAGGCTCCGCGCGAGGAACCTTGTCTTGTTATATTCCAAGACACGCCGGAAGCCACTGTTCTTGTGGACCGACCTTCTATCGCCAAGTTTATTAGTGAGTACCTTCGGATGACACGCAATCTTTGGCGGCTTAGCCGTGTGATGATTCGTGGGAAGGAGCGCAACCAGTACCCCTGTGCCTTTTTACTGACTCATCTCAGCAGTTTTGTGTCGTTTCCTCTGATGTACGAGATTCTCTTCTTTCTTCTCGTACACTTCACAATCCGTCTTGGCGACGACGAGTGGGCGGCTTGGATCATATTTGGATATTCACTTACCTTCTTCCTGGCGGTTGTGGGGGCACAGATAATTAGGCGTTTCGTTGTAGGCGGTGACTACGGCTTTGGCATAGTGACACCTATCATGGCTGTTTTGGTA